TATATGTATATGTATATGTATATATTTTAAAAAGTCTTCTGCTGCAAGCTGACACTTTCTCTGTTCCTCAGGAGCTAGCGGTCTCCACCTGACCAAACATGAGAACTTTCACGGCGGTCTCGATGCCATCTCAGTGGGTGACGGCCTCTTCACCATCCTCACCACCCTCAGCAAGAGGGCCACCTCAGTCCAGGTCATGCTACAGCCCATCCTCACATACATGGCCTGTGGTTATATGGGCAGACAGGTAATGGGGCTGTAATGATTTGGTATGAAAATACATCTTGAACAAAAACCAATGGCCAAAGCTTTACTATGTGTTTTTAATTTGACATTTTGTAGGGGTCTCTTTCCACATGTCAGCTGTCGGAGCCTCTGTTGTGGTTCATCCTCCGCGTGTTGGATACCAGTGAGGCTCTCAAGGCCTTCCATGACATGGGTTGGTATAAACACAGAACACCTGCCTCCTAACCCAAATTTACTCACCCCACCCTTCAGACTAGATGCGCCTACAGACTGTACAGCAACAATGGTGTTTTTGTTTATTCGGTGTCATGCTGTGCAAGATTGGTCTCATAAAATAATATCAATATCAGTTATGTCAGATGTGCCATGAATATGTGGTGCAAAAACTGACAGAGGAAAACCTTGCTGAGCTATGGCAAAGTCGCACAAACATACTTTGCTTTTCTTGTATTTGTTTTTTTCTTTTCTTTTCTTTTCTAACCCTCAACTTTAATCAAAAATGGCACTGACAAAATTTCGAGTTGTATGTCTGGGTCATTTAATGTCCTGTTCTGATTGGTTGGTGTATAGACGTAGCAGTAGTTAAGTTGTGAGATTTTAGTGCCAAATTTCTGACTTTTTACTATTTGCTTGTCTCCAAATCAGCCGTCAGTGAACGTGTCTCACAGTGTGATCAATGACCATTCTGGTTTGAAAGTCTAAGATTTTACCACGTCAAGTTTTATGTCAGACAACTCAAAATATCACTGTGTAATGAGGTCTACAGTGACAAATGTTTTACTTACTGAATATTTGTCTGGGACTAGTCCTATCCCACTGCAGGCGGGCACTTTACCTTTGTCAAAACCCTGAAATTAAGCACAATAGATTTTCCAGAGCTTTAGGTCGTTATAGAAATGACGCACAGCGACACTAATGTAAGCATGGATTCGAGCAGCTTTTGGAAAATTTGATCATTAAGACAGAAACTTTCTTGTGTTTTACCAGGTGGTGTGCAGTTGATCTGTAACAACATGGTGACCAGCACCCGGGCCATTGTGAACACAGCACGCAGCATGGTGTCCACCATCATGAAATTCTTAGATTCAGGTCCTGGAAAGACGGCAGATGGCAACCTCAAAGCCAGAGTGATGACCTCCGAGCCAGACAACGCTGAGGGACTCCACAACTTTGCTCCCTTAGGTGCTTTTACTTTCTTTCTCCTCAATCTGATATATCAATATTTTTTTACTGTAAAATATTTTACAATATTACATCAACTCTTTTCTATTTCTAAATGATCTACTTGTCCCTCCACAGGCACCATAACATCCAGCAGCCCCACAGCGCAGCCAGCAGAGGTCCTCCTCCAAGCAACGCCGCCCCACCGCCGGGCCCGGTCAGCAGCCTGGTCCTACATCTTCCTGCCGGAGGAGGCCTGGTGTGACCTCACCATTCACCTTCCTGCTGCTGTGCTGCTGAAAGAGCTCCACATCCAGCCACACCTTGCCTCTCTCGCCAGTGAGTAGGCTCCAATTTGATAATGAAAGTCAATGTGAAAAAATTGTACATTGGAATATTTTTGAAAGTCTACTTCAGTCAGTATTTTTACAACCATCTGACGCTGTTCCATCTGACTTGAATGGAAACTCATTTCATTCCTTTATGTTCTACTCTGTCCCGTTCCTCTAACCAACCAGCCTGCCCATCCTCGGTCTCCGTGGAGATCAGTGCTGACGGGGTCAATATGCTGCCGCTCTCCACGCCAATCATCACCAGTGGCCTGACGTACATTAAGATCCAGCTAGTGAAGGCAGAGGTTGCGTCGGCTGTTTGCCTGAGGCTGCACCGGCCCCGTGATGCCAGCACCCTTGGTCTGTCTCAGATCAAACTCTTGGGCCTGACGGCATTCGGTAACACCTCCTCTGCGACTGTCAACAACCCCTTCCTGCCTTCTGAGGACCAGGTCTCTAAAACCAGGTACCAAGAACAGATTGTGTAATGAGTGTGTCCATTTCTATTAGCTGTGGGTTTGTTTTTTTTACAACATTTTCTTTCTTTACCACGTACAGCATCGGGTGGCTGCGTCTTCTCCACCATTGCCTGACCCATGTCAGTGACCTGGAGGCCATGATGGCCAGTGCCGCAGCACCCACGGCCAACCTGCTGCAGACCTGCGCGGCATTGCTCATGTCACCTTACTGCGGCATGCACTCGCCCAACATCGAGGCCGTGCTGGTCAAGATTGGCCTGCAGTCCACTCGCATTGGACTCAAACTCATCGACATTCTGCTGAGGAACTGTGCCGCTTCTGGCACCGACCCTGCCAGTGAGTCACACACCGCTGCATTAATGCTGGAGTGTTAATTATAGGCAGCAGATCCACAGGAAAAAGCAACTCCATCAAACATTCTTAAAATATTCAAATGTATCCTTAAGAGGTCCTTCAATTAGGTTGTAGTTGTAAAGACTTAGACAAGGGCATTTTTCAAATGTTATTTTGCCCCATCAAGTAGTTAACGTGTTTTGTTCTGCAAGGCCTCACAAACAAATTGAGTGTGTGTGTGTATGTATATGTGTGTGTGTATGTATGTGTGTGTGTGTGTATATGTGTGTGTGTGTGTGTGTATATATATATGTGTGTGTGTGTGTATATATATATGTGTGTGTGTGTGTGTATATATATATGTGTGTGTGTGTGTGTATATATATGTGTGTGTGTGTATATATATGTGTGTGTGTATATATATAT